ATAATATTTTCTCCAAAATGCTGAACCACCCCGGCCCTTACAATTTCGGCCCGAAAGTTGTGATAATTCAAATTTTTACAATATTTGCCCCTACGCCACTTTCAAAGGGATATGTGGTTCAGGATCCATCTAATCGCATGTATGTACATTCATTGTGGGGAAACTAGCTAATAAAAAAATAAAAATTTTCCTCCAAAATGCTGAACCCCCCGGCCCTTACAATTTCGGCCCGAAAGTTGTGATAATTCAAATTTTACAATATTTGCCCCTACGCCCCTTTCAAAGGGATATAGGGTTCAGGATCCATCTAATCGCATGTATGTACATTCATTATGGGGAAACTAGCCTATTCAAAGAAATATTTTCCTCCAAAATGCTGAACCACCCCGGCCCTTACAACTTCGCCCGAAAAGTTGTGATAATTCAAATTTTACAATATTTGCCCCTACGCCCCTTTCAAAGGGATATAGGGTCAGGATCCATCTAATCGCATGTTTTTACATTCATTTTGGGGAAACTAGCTATTAAAAAAAAAAATATTTTCTCAAAAATGCTGAACCACCCGGCCCTTACAATTTCGGTCCGAAAGTTGTGTGATAATTCAAATTTTACAATATTTGCCCCTACGCCCCTTTCAAAGGGATATGTGGGTCAGGATCCATCTAATCGCATGTATGTACATTCATTGTGGGGGAAACTAGCCTAATAAAAAAATATAATATTTTTCTCCAAAATGCTGAACCACCCGGCCCTTACAATTTCGGCCCGAAAGTTGTGATAATTCAAATTTTTACAATATTTGCCCCTACGCCCCTTTCAAAGGGATATAGGGTTCAGGATCCATCTAATCGCATGTATGTACATTCATTATGGGGAAACTAGCCTAATCAAAAAATATAATATTTTCCTCCAAAATGCTGAACCACCCCGGCCCTTACAACTTCAGCCCGAAAAGTTGTGATAATTCAAATTTTTACAATATTTGCCCCTACGCCCCTTTCAAAAGGATATAGGGTTCAGGATCCATCTAATCGCATGTATGTACATTCATTTGGGGGAAACTACCCAATTAAAAAAAAAAATATTTTCCTCAAAATGCTGAACCACCGGCCCTTACCATTTCGGCCCGAAAGGTGTGATAATTCAAATTTTTACAATATTTACCACTACGCCCCATTCAAAGGGATATGGGGGTCAGGATCCATCTAATGGCATGTATGTACATTCATTATGGGGAAACTAGCCTATTCAAAAATAAAATATTTTCCTCCAAAATGCTGAACCACCCCGCCCTAACAATTTCGGCCCGAAAAGTTGTGATAATTCAAATTTTTACAATATTTGCCCCTACGCCCTTTCAAAGGGATATAGGGTTCAGGATCCATCTAATCGCATGTATGTTTATTCATTATGGGGAAACTAGCCAATTAAAAAAATATAAATTTTTCCTCCAAAATGCTGAACCACCCCGGCCCTTACCATTTCGGCAAAAAAGTTGTGATAATTCAAATTTTTACAATATTTACACTACGCCCCATTCAAAGGGATATGGGGGTCAGGATCCATCTAATGGCATGTATGTTTATTCATTATGGGGAAACTAGCCAATTAAAAAAATATAAATTTTCCTCCAAAATGCTGAACCACCCGGGCCCTTACCATTTCGGCCGAAAAGTTGTGATAATTCAAATTTTTACAATATTTGCCCCTACGCCCCTTTCAAAGGGATATAGGGTTCAGGATCCATCTAATCGCATGTCTTTTTACATTCATTTTGGGGAAACTAGCCTATTAAAAAAAAAAATATTTTTCTCAAAAATGCTGAACCACCCCGGCCCTTACAATTTCGGTCCGAAAGTTGTGTGATAATTCAAATTTTTACAATATTTGCCCCTACGCCACTTTCAAAGGGATATGTGGGTCAGGATCCATCTAATCGCATGTATGTACATTCATTGTGGGGAAACTAGCCTAATAAAAAAAATATAATATTTTTCTCCAAAATGCTGAACCACCCCGGCCCTTACAATTTCGGCCCGAAAGTTGTGATAATTCAAATTTTACAATATTTGCCCCTACGCCCCTTTCAAAGGGATATAGGGTTCAGGATCCATCTAATCGCATGTATGTACATTCATTATGGGGAAACTAGCCTAATCAAAAAATATAATATTTTCCTCAAAATGCTGAACCACCCCGGCCCTTACAACTTCGGCCCGAAAGTTGTGATAATTCAAATTTTTACAATATTTGCCCCTACGCCCCTTTCAAAGGATATAGGGTTCAGGATCCATCTAATCGCATGTATGTACATTCATTTTGGGGAAACTAGCCAATTAAAAAAAATAATATTTTCCTCCAAAATGCTGAACCACCCCGGCCCTTACCATTTCGGCCCGAAAGGTGTGATAATTCAAATTTTTACAATATTTGCCACTACGCCCCATTCAAAGGGATATGGGGGTCAGGATCCATCTAATGGCATGTATGTACATTCATTATGGGGAAACTAGCCTATTCAAAAAATAAAATATTT